TATCGTAAGCCTTCTCTAACTCGTCTTCGTAAAGAACCTTTCTTGGCGTAATGATAATGGTGCAATAAAGATAAAGATCGCAAAGATGTTTTATATTCGTTTAAAGTAATAAGTAGGAAAAGTACTTAGAAGTCAATCTAATTTTATTTAAACTCGTACCGCTAACACTGGCATATGACGAGCCCCCGCCGGCACAGGGATACCGCTAACCGGTATACCACTAATCCTAGGCTAACTAAGTCTACGGTCCCGCACCTGCCATCCCCGAGTCATGCCCACACGGAAACTAATTACAAGACCATCAAACAACCCAGCGCCCTCCCCGGTCCGAGTCCGTAGCCCTTCTGGTATGAAGCCAACCAGCACCAAGCGTAGCCGAAGCCGAGCAAGAGACCAACCCAACCAGGTTCCTCGTCCAACAAAATCAAAACCACTACCACTCGGTCTAAATACCGTCCCGCAACACCTCCACCACAGTAGAAAACCAACAACAAACCAAACCAAATATAAACTACAGGCGACACAATGGCAGGGAGGAGGTGACCAGCATGTCCACCTCTCGCATCCGCATGCTAGGCCGTCGACCCTATAAACCCACTTTGCCAAGTGCCTCCGAGGAGCGTAATGGTGAGGAGGACCTGTACCCGCTGCCTGTCCCCCAACATAAAACACATGAACAAAAGAAATACATAGAGGTGGTGACAGACCGAAATAGTCAGTGGGGCCTATCTCCCACCCGTGGTGCCTTGCCCCTGCTAGCCATGCCCATTGCCAAACCAAAGAAACCAAACAAACTTCCACAACACCCAGCACGCAGAACCCAAACAAGTCCAACTAGGTGGTCGCAATCCACTATCCGCACAGGTGGCCATCAGTCCAGCGGTCCGCCGGGAAGCTTTACAGCACTCAGCAGCTTCGCCCAGCAGCCCAAACCGGTCCGGAAACACTTAATTAGACATCGCCCAACCTGACGCATGTCCGACTGGTGCTCGCAGGTGCCTCTCCCCCCCCAATCAGCCCCCCTCAAGCCCCACACACCAGACGCCACAGAGCCCATCCAGCCCCCCCAGCCCCTCAGACAGAACAACCATCCGATGGCCACAGGACAGCTTATACCCAGCCCCGCCAGGCAGCCATTGATCTTGGCCACACAAACAGAGCCCCAACCCTCAGCACCATATAGCCGAGGGGGGCCCACCAGCCACAGCCGGGAGCCACAAAGGAGGCAGCACCAACACCCGAAGGCACAGGCACCAGCCACACCATCCAACCCAGCCGAACCGAAATCCAGCCGAGTCGGGAAGAGTAAGCAGAGCCAGCCAAAGCCAGCCCCACAGGTCCGGCAACAGGTACGGACCGAACAACGGGCAAGAGGCATCCCCAACTGACACGACAAGATAGGGAAGGGCGAATGAACAGAAGCAGACAAACGGAAGGTAGGCCCCACTTGCAATGGGTGAAGCTGCCAACCACAGACCACAACTGAACCACCCAGACGCACAGACAACGCGAGTGCCTGGCAGCCAATCGTCCCACACCACCCCAGGCAGCAAAGAAAAACCACTCCAGGGGGTAAGGTTTTTCAGGGTCAAAGCCATCCCCACCGTAGCTAGGAGGTAACACCTGACTGAACTACCGTATATGCCGCAAGGACAAAACTTCCAAGGGAACAGTGATAAACAACATCGTAGGATTCCGACCGTAGAAACATAAAGTAACGAGGCAGGGAGGGGCCGGTGAGGCCCCCTCCCTTGAGAAAATGATGCAGCCGGTACGACGAGTTGATACTTGGGAAGGTTATCAGTCTAACCCATGGGCGTTTTGTATCGCGTGAACTAAGGACTCCGTTAAAACCCAACAAAAGACATGAGCTGGCCCAAAGAACGACACGGGTGATCCCCCCAAACACAATGTTCAATCCCCCCAATCGAACGCGAAACCTGCGAGTAGACGATAGACAGGAAGCCGTAGACATTTTACCGAAAGGGGCTCGTATGCGACAGTGATGAGTGCTCGAAGTGCTGGTATCGTGAGATAACCAGTCCAACGAAACGAGACGCAAACAAGTTATCCGCCACGCAACACCTAACAGACCTCAACACCAAAGACCCCAGGAACTACTGAGCGAACTCAGATATCTCCCCCAGAATCAAAGGCATCAAGGCCCATCATGATGGCAAAAGAAACGCTCGGGGCGAAGCGACGGCAAGGACGAGGAAAAGTACTTAGAACAAAGCGTGAAGAACCTATCTTCTTTGGCTGCATTGGCCTCCTTATATAGTATTCTTCCCACCCATAGTCATGTGACCTAAAGTGGTCACATGTGCGAAACCAAATCATAATATCCTAGTCATGTGACCAAAATGATCACATGCTCAAAACCCATGACCTCATAGCGAGATCATGTACAAAAACTTATAAACCAATCATAACGTAATAAACAAGTCATATGACTCGACTGAGTCATATGCGCAAAACCCATGACCTCATAATGAGGTTATGTGCGAAACATAAATCATATGCGTAAGACTTACCCGCAAGGCACACTCGCAAGGCATACTCTCCAAGCGTATGTCCTATGACTCATACTTGAACCATGTGCGAAAGCATTACAAATCCCACACATAACAAATCATATAACCCGAATAAGTTATATGCGCAAAGCAACAACATACCTGTGACTCATAATCATGTATCACGTGAAAACCTTTTCCATGCCAAGCCACATTCGTGACAGGTGCTAATCACGTTTCGGTAATAGATACGATAGTTGGCAGGTGGCCTGCTCTTCCAGACAGGAGGCGAGAGCTGAGAACTAAAGGAGGCTTCGAGGGTTTACTGAGAAACAAAGAGTAACCATTCAACCAAGTATATTGAAATACTGTCTATTGAAGTCTGCCTTTTCTATCGTAGAAACAGGTGGTCTTTAAGTACACAAATCTGTTCATGTCTTAGCATGAACGAAACTAATCAAAGGTATCAATTGATACATTTTGGTGAAACTAATTAAGTATCAAAGCGATACTTAAAACAAAACATAAAACAAAACCAAGTATCAAACGATACTTAAAACAAATCAAGTATCAAAGCGATACTTAAAACAAAACATAAAACAAAACCAAGTATCAAACAATACTTAAAACAAAACATAAAACAAAACCAATAACCGAGTACCCATACTGGTTACATGTATTCCTTCTCCAACTAGTGCATTCTGTTGCTACTGGCTCTCTTTCTCCTTCTGTGCTCCACGCCATAGTGTACTCCTTGATAGCCCTTTTATTCTATCTGAACTACAAGCAGAGCTATAACCCCTCGTATTCAGCCTCCTTTGAGGTGTATTCTCCATGGCTTCCATACCTTCTGCCTGACTGACTGCCTTATCTTCTCCTTCAATAGCAGCAATCTCATCCTGGCTTTCGTTGGAATCCAAGGGAGTGGATTGTTGACACAGCTTTTTGGAAAAGCCGCCTTGGGATCCAATAGCACGCAGGCATTTTCGTTTTTGCTGTATTGGTAGCATAGTAGTGGCTTTTGTAATGCTTGACTTTGTTCACAATTGTTGGTAAATTGTTTCTACAGTTTCTTGTATACATCAAAGCTTTACTACATTTGTTCTGCTTTTTACTTCATCCATTATCATGCTATTTTACTCTTCCAACCTCTATAGTATTTTTCAACATAGCACTGTGTACATTCTGTTCCTTGTTTCACTCTCACCAAAATTTTCACTTCTTGTCTTCTATCTCCTCTTGCCTATGGTACTTAATTAAAAAAAAAAGCTAGCACTTGTTTGTTCTCTTTAGAAATGGCTTTATCTCAGTGCTAGCCTTTCTCTAAATTTCTGTGTTGTGGTTGACTAGATACAAATCGCGTTTGGCCTGTTTTGAGGACCCGGTTTGAGCCCATTTGCACTGTACTCCATTTCAATGATTGCAAAGTACCGTGCTCTACGTTATTCAAAACCAAAAAAAAAACCGAACACCGTCAGACAGCTAACCTAAGCAGTAAGATAATCCAAAGATCCACTACATGCACCGACAAACAGTCTACCGCAGGATCTCCATCAGTGCCAAGGAAAACCCATCACCCAAGACTTATGATATGATACCACTAAGCCGTCTAACCAACCGAGGAGAGTTCCGCCACCACCAACGCAGCACGCACAACAAAAACCCCAACTCTATATAATACTTCAACCCGTCAATACATACAAGTATCACACTTCCACAATCTCCAATCGGGTAACCTAATTATCACCACTCTCCCCTCAGTTATCTCATGATGCCAAATAACCCATCACAGACCATCGCTCGTCCGTTTATTATTCGAACGTAGTTTCCATATCGTGCGATGAACACAATACCGGTACGATACTTGCTCCGGACACCGCTTTGAAAAAGCACTTTAGATCCCAATGGGGGTGGAAGGGGGTTGGAGGGTTATGCACGGCGTGCGCGGGAGTAAAAATAAAACCCAATTCGGCGTTTTAAATGAACAATTGGCCCCAGGCGTTGCGGGTGAGAGGAATATTGTTAATCCAACTTCTCTCTTCATAATATGCTACCCAGAGCCTCGTCTTCAAGTCTTTCTTCTTCTGGCCATCCCCTAATCTCTGCAGGCTGGCGATCTGGGGTCTGCTTACTGCAGGAAACCCCGATTTATCAACACTCTACAACACTGACTCTTATAGCAAAAGGCACTACCGGTACCAGTATTACTCGGCGTCAAATTTTAAAGTGCGAGATATGACCCCCCTGACTCGTGCCTTACAACTGTATTAGTTGTCTACAGTACGGTTAATGTATCATACGGTATCATACTCGAATAGCAAGTTGGGGGGGTTGATCCAGCCCGAGAGTGCCCGAGTACAACGCCCGCCGAAAGGCGGCCGATTACACTTTTATTTCGGGTGCCCATGCTTTTCATGAACAAGAAGTAAGTGGTCCCGTGTGGTGTCTCTATGAAAGATACTAGCAACTACAATCTTAGAGCCCAATCAGGTATCATAATGTATTATTATTACACATGCCACAATTCTCTCATCATATTTGCCCACTGAAACCTTTCCTTCTCCAACCTCCAGATCTAATTATCGGTATCCATCAACATTTCCTCAATCGCATTGTCCAGCTCCTGATGTTGCTTCTTCTTAGCCATCTGATTATTTTTCCAGTCCTCCTCTTTCCTCTCAACGATATCCAAGCCATTCGTAATCAATTGATCCAACTCTTCTGCTTTTGCCGCGACCGCCTTTTTTGCCTCCTCTAAATTTTCAAGGAACTCGTTGTATTCCTGTGTGTGTGAATTGTCCAGCGCTTTGATTAACCTGGTACCCTGAGCTTCGAAATTCTCTATCATCTCTATCGCAAGCTCCTCGCTACACACCAAATACTTGACAAGTCCCTATTGAACGTTAGCGTGAAATTGCAACAGTTTTGTGTGGGTAACAAACTCGGGTGATTTGCTCTAGCGCTGAGAGCGTCTCTTTGAGATGCCCGGGTAATGATTTCCGCCAAATAATGTGAGCATCCTCTTCCCCTTCCTCACCATTCTCATCCTCATCGTCACTATCACCGGACCCGCTACATTCAGAGTCCGAACACGTATCGGTGTTTATATCGGAACCATTATCATCTGTGTAGGCGTTCATAGAATCCTCAACCTCAGTATCCCCATCCAGCCCACCTTGAACAGAATCCTCAATCCGCTCCTGTCTCCGAACATGTTCTCCATTGATGGGAACCACCCTAGAAGCTCTGCGGAACTGCTCCTCTGCCAATCGCCGGTTGGGAGGATTCCCGCGGTAAGGCGGGTTCTGAATTCTTACGAATCGTTGTTTTCGTAGCATCTTGGAAAAATGTGTCTCTGGATGCCCCTTTCTAGCTAAAACCGTGTCTAAAAATGTTAGTAAGGGTTTAGCATAGCCCTGAAACCTTAATAACGTACCCTCGAACGGTCTATCTCCGGTGCTAATGGTCTCAACTCTTGCACCCTGGACCAAGTTATTATTATCCCCAAGCTTCCGCTTACCGTTCCTGATAAGTTGAACTTTCGGCTTTGAATGATGGAGAACAGGAGGTGAGGATTTGGGTATGCTGGTGCTCGTCTCGGCAAGTATTTTCAAGACCCTAGCCACCGCGGGTTCTATAGATTCTGCGTCGTCTGAGTCCTCCCGAAGTTCTGGCTCTTGGCATACCCTGTGTGATTTCTTTGGCGGAAGAGCAATGGGCAAAGCCGGGGCAGGCGATGTCGATGATATTGAAATCACATCCCTCTCCTTTTCATGAAACTTTTCAAACGGTTTTGGTAGTTCTGTAGATTTGTTCTTGGGCCCATCGATATGCCTAGTCGCACTATCCTTTTGTTTAAAATACCCCCTGCCCCCCTCATAACTAGTGCTAATTCCTGGGTTCCTATGCTTACCGCCCTTTGCGCGAGTCCTGACCAGATGGGGTGTTTTCTCTACAAACAGCTGTCCGCCCAATGAGGTTCTCTCACGCAGGATGCTGGTTGTGCTTTTGACGAACACGTTTTCCTCAGTCTCCGGCTCTTGAGGGGCTTCAGGAGCAGGATCCTTTGGCTCGTCTAATATCTCACATGAGACTCTTTTTGGCCCCGCTGGTGGCTTTGGGACCCGCTGTCTAGAAGGGCTTCCATTTTCATCAACCTAGCCGTATGTGTTAAATTTGTGTCATCATTAGGTTCAAGTGTCTTACAACCTCAGTATGTCTAGTTTCCGTTCTTTTAAGTGCTGTGAACCCTCCCCTTTTCTCTTTCGCATCCCAAACAACAACATCTTCATCTTCCTCAGGCAGTATAACCAGACTTTGAAGCTTCTGGGTTGTGGGGAGTTTGGATAGACCATCGGGTATTGATAGTTCTTCGTCGTGGGTCGCGTTATGGACTTTGGGCCCCGTGGGTGAATTTTCTTTGGAGAATTCGATTGGGCTTAGAAGATAAAGACCGTTAGTTGCGGTCTCAGATACTGCACTCGCACTCACTGCCCGATCACAAGTGACCTTATCTTTGAGCTGCGCCATTAGGCTGGTAACGCCGGGCATCTGCTTCGGTATCGTTGAAACATTTTCTCCATATATCCGCGGTGGCGGACTTGAGGTCCAAGGGTGAGAAGTGCCCATGGCACGATCTTCATTCAGATCAGCGGTGCTGGTGCTTGCGTCTACAAGATATGACGTAGGGTGAGGTGTTAATATTTTTGATATATTGGCTAATGCAGCTGGGGCGTTCCCACGAAGACTTTCTTGTGGGTCATGGGGGGCTGTTGAAGATCCCGAAGGACCATATGTACCATGAGTATCCGCTCTCGAGAGTCCTTTTGCGAGATTTATCGCCTCTTGGGGTGGCAATTCTTTCGGAAATTTTTCTAGTGAACTAAGTCGACACTTTTGAGACTCTCGGCCAAGCGTAAATGCCCCCTTACTTGCATCATCCAGGCCTCCAAATATTTTTTGTGCTGTCTGTGGGCAGTGAGCGTTAGGCTCCGGAGGCGTTGCTGGACCCGAAATATTTGAAGTTCTTTCTTCTCTATTTCCCTTATGATTTATATATTCCTTCTTGTTGAGTGGTGGCAAAGTATCGCCATTATATACCGCCCACTCATCCAAGTCAGGCCCCCCACGGCCCGAATCTCGAACTTCAGGGGACACATCCATTTGAGGAAAGGATGTTATAGCTCCGGAGTTATCATTTGCATTGAGCGTGGGCGCAAGAGCTCCTCCCTTCTTTCCATAGCCGACCGTTTTGGGGGACGAGGTTCGTTGGCGTTTATGAGAACCTTCGCTGAGCTCTTTTGGAGTGATTGTGGGTTTATGGGCCTTACGTTTTGAGCTCATAGCTGTAGTTTTATGACCTAGCGCATTCTCTTGAGCCACTGCGCTTTGTTTCTCTCCCACCACCCTTGGCTCCCTAGCGTCCTCTTGTTTTTTCCCCACTTGCACAACCCTCGCCCCTCTACGAGCATCGATACTCTCTGGAATAGGCGCATCTTTTCTCTTTTTTATTGGAGGGTTGGTCCTATATGTCTCGGGAAGTGCACGCTTATTTGCCGTAGCAGGCTTTTGTTTTTTCCCAGGTGAAAGTAACCTCGTCGTAGCTTTCCTTGGAGTGTACTGCACTAATTCCTCGCCTTCGCTTTCCCCACCGGAGGATGGGATGAGCACAACCTTGGGTGGCTTCTTCTCTCTCAGAGATCTTCGTAGGTTGGGTTGTGCTTCGGAGGTTTGGGTTGGGTGAACGGTTTTTGTGAGGGCCTTTGGCTGCGGGGTAGGCGCAGACTTCCTAATTTCCGTTCCACCCAGAGCGCGTGGTGCCACCGGCCCAACGGGCCCGCTTCCCGAATGAGGTGTAATTTCTTCTCCACTAGAATCAACCACCCGAGCTTCCGACTTATACGAACGACCTTTCCCTCTCCCCCGATTCCCAGGGACAACCTTCCCTTTCTCCATCAATCGCCCTTTAACTATTTCTGTTAGCTTGGGGTGCATGCTTGGCCTTTTGGTTTGTACCTGCACTGTGCTCCTGGACCCTGCCTCCCACTTTTGGCTCTTGAGAAACTGGGCTACTCAACGGTAATTCCCATATATCATCACTAATGGGGAGTGGCTCCGGCTTCTTTCGCTGCACAACAGGTTTTACATCTCTTGTAACTCCCTCATTTTTCGCCCCCCGAGACACAGGCCTTGTGGCCCTCGCAGGCAGTGTAGGTTCCATAGGTCGCTTCACAGTTGCCCTCTTTCGCCCGGTATTTTGTTTTTGCAGAGAGGGTGGTGTTGGTATTTCTCCCCGTTCGTTTGCCAGTCTATCCTTGAGCTTGCCTCGCCTTTTGACTTCCTCAAGAGATATCAAAGAAGGTACTCCCTGCAGTATGCTTAATAGCCCATCAGCGGGTTCGTCATTGGCCTGGCTTAGCTTACATTCTCCTAGACCTCGGGACCCGGTGCTCTCCACAAGGTCACACTCCGCTGCTTTTAAGGGTTTGCTTTTGGACGCTTGGACAACCGGATGGTCTCCGAGATCACTTAGGCGGCCTTGCCAGTGACTGAGAATATCCCCCGAAGTGGGCGGCGAGCTTTGTGGCAAGCGATCGTGTGATGCTTCCTGAATCTGCCTTGGGCGAAGTTCTGTGCTAGTTGGTCCCATGGCCTGGATAGAAGCCTCCGCCCCTATTGAGAGGCCAATCCTAGAGCCCAGACTAATTGTAGGCAAAGAAGCACCATCATAGATATTATCGATTTCTGCTGTACTGACAGATAATATTTCTCCGGGTTCAGACTGTCCACTAGACGTGGCTTCAGCTCCCACCGGGCTATCGACAGCGCCAAGTACATATCCTCGACGCTTTTGCAGCTCTTCCACTTTTTCCTTTTGCGATTGAGAGATTTCGGGATTGACGAGCATACCACTGACAGCACTGATATGAGGGACACTGCCTTGCTTGCTTGATAGAATCAGCCCACGGCATCTCTCAACATTTTCAACAATGTCACCTGCTTCCTCTGCGTAGCATGAAACCATGATGCTATCAAACCTAGACGATGGCCGCATTGAGATAAGGTAGAGATAGCCGCTGTTACTAGAATCTGACAAATGAAGTTTGAGATATCTCAATTGGCCCTTAAGGTCACCAGGCACAGCTTCGTTGATGGGCTCGATCTTCATGATATTTGTAATGTTTAGATCTATCCACTCGCAAGAGCCATCGGAATTAGGTGGTATGTATATGCTGAAAAACTCGCCAATACTAATCGACACAGCGCCCCTTCCAAAAACCTGGGGTTTGTTCTCTCCGAGGCGGACTTGGTATGCGTTGAATGCTATGGGGAAAATTCTACAAACGTAAGCGGATCGAGTGAGCCATAAACGACGAAGGAGTTACCCAATATCAAGATCATCGAGATCCTCCTCTAGCCTTGTCACAAACTGTGCAAATCCTCCATCCCATTGGCTCCCAGGCTCCATGGGAAAATCTTTGCTGAAATCTACGCTACCCTGTGCCCAGAAAATTTCGAGCCTCTCTCGAATATCCCCCACAACACCAGAGCTGCGAATTGTTTGCCAAATAATTTTTCCGGCCGCAATCTTGAGCATTCTATCAGCCCCTCTCTCAATGATATCACCAAGCTCTTCCCTATCGCCACGAAGCCCACTTGTCAATAAAACTGCTCATTTAATGCTAGACGAGAGACATACAGCTGCTTTTTCTCAGTCTTTAGTAATCTCTTCCTGTTTTGCTCTGATCCATCCAACAACTCAGCAAGCAGTAATCCAGCCCAACGCCTCGTGAAGTCCAAATTTTCCTCTTCTGTAAAAAATGAGAGTAATTCGGAGATAGATGCTTCACCAACAGTGTCCTTATATTTCTTGACTGTGTCACCCTCCATCACTCGTGTCTCGACGCCATCCGACAAGGTCTCCAATACTTCCTATTTCAGTAAGCCTCGGATCGACACAATTAGGACAAAGAAATTGGGCTCTCACAATCAGCCGAAACAAACCCTGGTCCCTCTCTAAACAATCCCCAGCCCTAAGGAGTGTGCGTGTTACCGCTGTGAAAGTATCTGCTTCGAGCATACACCACCTTTTGTAGTCCTCTCCTAAAGAATTGACTAATTCCCGGACACTTGTGGGGCGTAAGCTGATTTTATTGCTGTTTAATTGAACATTGAGCTTCTCGACAATTCTCCGCAAGTCCCTAACAAATACGTCAGGCTGACTTAAGATAATGCTTAATCGAGCGGTTACGCACTGTGAAGTTTCCGGTTTCCCTAAATGCTCCCTGAAAAGCAACGATAGGGTGGATAGCGAATTGATGGGCTCATCGGGGGTTAAAGAGATGGCCAAGGAAGGAGGGTTCTCAGAAGTATCTGGATTAGCCGTCATGGCTAGGGGAAGGTTTGTGTTTGTTAGTAAGGATAGGGGGGGGGGGAGGTAAGATACCATTGACTTTTCTTTGCGACCTTACTGTCGTTGGAGGGCAGGTGAAAGTGGGGTGCTTCGCATTGCAAGATGTTCAAAGTGCGGGTGTATTTTCACCACCACAGGATACACCGTGCGTATATCTGCACCCAAAGTTTGGGATCCCCGGGGGGGGGTCTGGCCACGCATGCTTGCGTATGAGAAAAGCCAGGTTTAGTGGATCACGAGCAAACTCATGAGCACCAGGGGCGGAGAATGGCGAGCCACACGGAAGGGCAACATATCGCCCCATAGTCTATCGGTTGCGAGCACCGGTCTGTGCGAAAAACAGGATAACTCGAGTGACATCGCATGATTCGCTCGTTTGTTGTCAGAATGTACAAGTAGACCCAGAATGTTGAGATTGTTAAAAGTCAACCGCGCATAAAAAATTGAGCCGAGCAAACCTTCTGTGTATTTTGTCATCTACATGTACAGTAACTTACGTCTCACAGGACCTATATCGATAAATCGAGACCCATGAACGAAATCAACCCCACTTCTCCACCTCTTCGATCAAGCTCTCTACTTTAAACCCGTCATCACCCTTCGAGAACATCTCCAACAGCCTTTTCCTCCTCACTCCGCTCTCCTCGCTATCCAGAGCCCCATAAAACCTCTGGAGGGCCATAACTAGCCATCGAGCATCATTAGCAGTAACCCCTCTATCAGGTGTCACAGCGCCCTGTGCTAACACAATACCCTTGTCTTCTGCCAGTTCGAGATGGTGAGAGAACGTGGTATGCGGGACGGCAAATTCCCCCCTCAACTTGTACTCGGCGAGAGAGGCGAAGATAATTGTAGAGGTACGTGGGGTTGGGAAGGTCCATTGAAGGAAGTGCATTTCGGCACCATTATCCCGTGGGAGTGGGAGGATGAACTTACCAAAGGGAAAACGTGTTAGCCGTACCAGTGTGTGATAGAGGGGAAGGGAAGGAAGGGGATACCATCGGGTATTGACAAGCAGACTCTTCAAGACTGGCATATGTATCCTTAGGAATCACTGCGCAGAGACTATTCTTATCATCGAGAAAGCGAGCTCTCCATATGAATTCTATCTCCTTCGGATCAGAGTGCGCGGTGAGCCTGTCCACATCGACAAACGACGAGAGTGTCTTCACGCCTGGGGGTGGGGCATCAGTAGACCTTGCCCCCCCCGTTTGAACAGAAGATGGCGAGGATGCAGAAGCGGTCTCTACAGATGAAGAAGGTTGGGGGGATGGAGGAGGTGGGGGAGGATCTTGTAATAGTGGGTCGATAGGGGAGCGTGGGGGCGCAGATTCCTTCCGCACATTTTCAATCCTATCCCGATATACTTCTCGAAGTTCTTCAAGCGAACCTAACCCCTCGCTTAGCTCTTGTCAGTTGAGTCGATCAGTAATTACCAATAGTAAACCAATGTAGGAGGCCACCTTTTTAGCTTCGCCTCCAGCTTTTCACGATATTTCTCTAATACCAGGGGTGCTGTGGGTGTTTGCAGAAATCGGACGTTCAGGACTTGGGCATTCCGACGTTGGATTCTCGGAGCGATCTTAAACTGGGGAACGATTACACGGCGGGTTATAAAAGGTCGAATAACGGAAGCCATTGTCCACGAATATATGGGTAAACTCTCTGTTTTACAATTGGGGTCAGTGTCCCGGCTGCAGGCAAGGAGGGCTTCAGGTCTTTGAAGCACGATAATCTTACGGTTCGGCTAGAAGCAATCTCGATGATGGCGATAATCTTTGGGGGGCCAAGACGCGTGGCATCAATGTCGATAGGTCACATGACCACTCAACCATGTGACCTATGTCTCAGCATCACCAACAGTCTTCTTCCATACGGACTTTGGGACCGGGAATACAGTACGAGTACTCGAGTAGAGCCTTTGCGCAATTGGACTTCGAAGGACTGGACTAGGTAGAAAGAGGGTCAAGTGGCGTGTACGAGTACAGTACATGAAACAGTGAAGTAAGCTAAGTTTTTTTCAAGTTTTTCAACTTTGAATACCCTTACTGCACTGGACGAGTATTCGTACCGTAGCACCTTGCCGAATGACCCTTGATAAAACTGTGGTATGGGAGGGATAAAAATGGGTGGTATCGGAGACAATACGGGTAATAATGATAATAATAATAGTAATAATAACTGTAAGGCTGATAAGTCCGCTAGTCCCCGCAGGTGTCTACCCGTAACCACTCCCTAAATATCTTGGAATCCTTGGTCAAATAGCGCGATCGGGAAAACCGAGTCCCCCACACCGTATCATACCATCATATGATACTTGTACGAGTATTGTACTAAGTACTGGTACAGTACCCTACCGTACAAATGCAGCCTAATTTAATCTTCTGCAATCTTGATGCGACAACAGAATCTGGTAGCACATAAAGCTAGGCTCCAAAAGTTCGCTCCCTTTCCGTCCCCCAACAACTATCAACCCAACGTACATACTACCAGTAATCGATTACCCAAGCATTTGGAACGAAAAAAATTGAGTGACCGTGTCTGCAACCTAATTTCGTGGAAGGCAACCGTAACCCACTCTCCAGTCAGGTAATTCACGTTCCGATTACCCCTGGAATTCGCCGAGTAGAGCTCGGACCCTCTACTCTGGCCAGGCCAGAAGAAAACATCAAAATGTCAGAGACATTGTGCAATAGGGGCAACCTTCATAACAATAATCTTTGTATGAATAATGTGGTAGACACCCGTTAAAGTAAGAACTCCAACTTCTCCCCCGGCTAACACCCAGTCTCTCGACAAGAAAGTCCCCCCAACCCACACCCACGAGCGTGCAGCTCTACTAGTAGTCTTTCCGCAGCTGATCTTACCTTTTCTCCGCAGCTCCTCTACGCTGCTCCTCTCCTACCCAACTCGTGTTGCCCCTCATCCCGCAATACCAGTGGTGATCTCTAGAAACGCCAAATTGCACTTCCACTACCTTCCGAAATGCCTATCGCATCGCCCTTTCCCACCATTGATATCCCCCAAAAGGATATATATTCGTTCTTGTTCGAAAGAGAGGATAGACCTTTCCCAGAAGACCAAGGTAAACTGATTCAGTGTGACCTATGACTCGGGAACCGAAGTTTGTAAGCCTTCTGACATATGATAGTCGTTTACATCGATGGGAATACCAAGCGCCAATTAACCTATGCAGACGTTCGAGACCAAACACAGACTTTCGGAATCGGTCTCAAGTCTCAGTGGAGTTGGCGAAAAGGTGACGTTTTGGCAGTCTTCAGGTTCGCTCCACTACGAATTTCCCCGCATAAAACATGACCGCTCGCGCTTGAGCAGTACTGACGCTTCCCGCCCCCCCTTTTTTCCCCTTCATTTTTAGCACGAACCAAATCGACACACCACCGATAATATGGGGAACTCTGTGGGCCGGCGGCGTTATTACGACGGCGAATCCGAGCTATGGGGTGGAGGAACTTTCTTTTCAACTGAAGGACTCGCGTGCGAAGGCTCTGGTGACGTTGGTTGATTTGCTCCCGATTGCCGTACAGGCAGCCGCAAATGCGGGAATTTCAAAGGACCGGATCATCGTTTTGGGAGACAAGAAGACAAAAGAGTACAGACACTGGAAAGACATTGGCCCAAGCACAAGTGTCAAGTGGAAGAAGACGGAAGTTCCGAATCCGGAGAAAGAATTGGCGTATTTGGTATATAGTAGTGGAACAACCGGCCTGCCCAAAGGGGTGATGTTGAGCCATAAGAACATGGTCGCAAATCTCGTGAGCCGCCCTCCCCCAGGGGGTTATTTATATACTAACTCTTCGCTCGCATTCTTGGCCACAGCTCCAATTTACGCCCAATGACCCACTGGATTGGACGGAGGATAGACTGGTTGCGTTTCTGCCATTCTTCCATATATACGGATTGACTTGTGGGCCTCCCTGAAGGCTTTAAGTACCCTTATGACATGATCTAACATTCTCAGGCATGGTGCATCACGCAATTCTACGGGGATTACCAACAGTGGTAATGGATCGCTTTGACCTGAATAAATTCTGTCAACATATCCAGGACTATAAGGTCACCTTTACATACGTGAGTTGATCGATGCAAGGGTTTACGTTAGTTCGGATGATTGACACCTCGACAGCTTGTGCCACCCGTGATACTTCTTTTGGCAAAGCACCCTGACGTAGCCAAATACGATTTCAGCAGTCTCAAGATGGTGAACTCTGGCGCTGCGCCACTCACTAGGGAGTTGGTGGAGTCTGTGTGGGCTAGACTGAGGGTTCCTATTAAACAAGGTTTGTTTCACCTATTGGAGGAACAATCGGTAGCGCTACCATGGGGCTGCTAACTGAGAATGGCTCGAATTAGGCTATGGGCTTTCCGAGACTTCTCCAGTGACGCACTCTATGCGATGGAGTCAATGGAAATCACATATTGGGAGTGTTGGGCAATTACTTGCTAGTAGGTGTATCTTATCCATTACCCCTGGCATTAGCACTAACTATTCCTGTGGATATGACGGCAAAGTATGTCAACGAAGAAGGGGTGGAAGTTCCTGCCGGTGAAACCGGAGAACTTTGGATGGCTGGACCTAACATCATGATGGGCTACCTTAACAACCCAACGGCAACTGCCAACGCGATTACCCCAGATGGGTTCTTTAAGACTGGTGATATCGGATACCAAGATGGCGATGGAAACTTTTACATCACCGATCGTGTCAAGGAATTGATCAAATATAAGGGTTTCCAAGTCCCACCTGCTGAGCTTGAGGGTTTGTTGTTAGGGCACAAAAAGGTTGATGACTGTGCCGTCACTGGCATTTACAGTCCTGAGGTGGCAAGTGAAGTACCTAGGGCATACATCGTCCTTGCTGCCGGGGTAGAGCGGACTAGAGACACGGAGCTGGAACTGATCAAATATGTCGAAGATAAGGTTGCTCACCACAAGAGATTGAGAGGGGGAGTCAGATTTTTGGATGCAATCCCGAAGTCTATCTCTGGAAAAATCTTGAGAAGGGTTCTGAGGGATATGGCCAAGGAAGAGGACCAGGGAGAGGCGGCTCCTCGGGCCAAGCTCTAAAGGGGCCCTATTTCAGGATCGAGGATGCTTTCACAGGTTATGTGTATAACCCCTCGAGGTTTTCCTGGTTTATTCTCTATTCATGTTAATACAGCGCCTTTGTGTGGGCTGTGATACGCCTCAAGACGGTTCACTGTATCCATGCAGTAGCCTGCTCGTCGAGTAGATTAATTATAGAATGATTTTGGCAATACATGATCTTCGCGAAGCCTTGAATCGCCCTAAGTCCCGAGAGGAGAAAGAAAGAAGATACAAGGCCCAAGTTACCGGTACCCCACCTGTATCACGGGCACCATCCCGCAGGCCTAAAGTAACGAAGCATGGGGAAATCCGTCTGCAGGGAGGCGATACCGGACTATTACCGTAGTATTGATCTACTACTCTAACGAGGCAGAAACGGAAAAGCTTATATCAAGCCGTGGCGGGATGACAACAATTTAACCTACTCGAGCACGGTACCGTGTTGAAAGTACAATACGTGGCCAAAAAATGAAGACGAAGCTCAAGTTCTTAACAAACTCGAGTAGTCAGGAGTGTGTAACATGACGTCGCGAGCAACCAACTCTGCCCAGAACAAAAAGAAAGAGCAGCAGGCAAATTCCGATAGAACACAGGATATCCTGTGGCTGCATACCCTAGCTTTTCCATATTACCGTATACATCCCTTCCTCCTTCTTTGGATCAATAAAAGACCCTATCACGTAAGGGGGGAAAATCACCATCGCCATTCCTCCCCCTTCCCCACCAACAGCCCTGTACTGAGTACTGTACAGTACTCCTACCAATTAACCCAACATTACCGTGCTCCCTCAATCACACCGCTAACAAACAATAATAACCCTCACTCTCAGTTCTCTGAAAACTACTGGAACCCAATCGACCACTACCTTCTCCCCAACCAGCCTTGTTGCTGCGTATCCCGGCAGCAACACTCCCAGCAGACTGTCTTCTTTCACTTTACACCTCACACACTCTCCCAACATCTATCAACTCCCCAACCCTCTAACGAAAGAATGCCTTTCCGCGATGCAATCCGAGAGATGAGCGGGTTCCATCGGGACGAGGTAACTACTTCCAATCCCCCCACCACTTCGTCGGCTCCAACCTCTTCTTCGTCTCCCCCTCCTCCGAGAAGTAGTGGGGGCGGAAGGGGAATGATGGATCGGATGGCTGATGCTGGAGGAAATTTACGACTTCGTCGGAATGAAATGAAGTTACGACCTGAGGACCCTTATCTTAGCTGTGAGTTTTCCCATTGCTGTCCTCACTACCTACGGCGGAACTTGTTACTGACTGGATGAGCGATTAGATTACGATGTTTGCGGTGTGTTTTTCTGGGCAGCTATGGGTTGACGAAGGCTGATTCGGGCCGGTGCAAACAGTTACCAAAGAAGACATCGACTGTTTAAAGGGAGACTGGTTGACAGACAATGTAGGAGCCCTCATCCTTTCCTTCCTTCGACTCTATTATTTCTTTGATTTTTGAGAACGAAATGCTTTGTTAGAGATATCTTTTTTTTATTACTAACAATCAGGGCGGGGGCGTAGAATATCTCGTTCTGGGAGGAGTGCGTTTCTTCTTGGTCTCATTGTTTCTGGCTCGTTTATAGTTGTTGGTCTTGCTAATGACAGGTGTTTCCGCGGTTTCGTTTTATGGGAGCTTTAGATATCTTGAACATGAAGAGTTGAAAAGTCCTAACAATAAAGTTATGCTGTTGAGACCCTCAATGGTGTTCCTGCTAAAGAACACCAAAGGTATTAATTGAAAGAGCTCCTAGGTATCCTACCCACAGCTAACGGCCCCGTTCCTAGATCCGCTTACGCTTGAGTCTGCTCTACCGGATGTAAAAAAAGCCTCTCACATCTTCCTCCCCATTAACGACTGCCGCAATCCTTCAATTCCTGAGGGTGGAACACATTGGTCCCTTCTCGTTGTCGGAGTCAGCGACCGTGTAGCTTTCCACTATGATTCGCTCTCGCCTGCAAATTGTGGCGAGGCTCGAGAGGTATGTAAGAAGCTGGGGGTTTTACTCGGGTTTTCGCTCCAATTTTTCGATCTAGAGGATACACCACAACAGGACAACGGGAGCGACTGTGGGGTACATGTTTGCTGGGCGATGAAACACTTACTCGTTAAGAGGCTCTTGGCAGTAGAGCGTGAGAAAGCAGTGCAAATGACTCTTCGGGGGAAACGAGTTGACGCAAGCGGTTATCGGAAGGAAATGTTTAAGATTTGTGAAGGATTGAGAAAGAAGGCTTCCAGGAGGTTGAGACCCCTTCCGTACCCCCTTCCCGGTTGTGGGCCATCGTAAATGTGCTATTGACACTTCCTACTTGCGAGATATATAGTACGAGCCCTCGCACGTCGAAACACGATGGAAAAGATAGTCCTCCGAGGATTGGCGATGATCAAACTTAATTTTTTTTTTCTTTGCTCGCGTTGCATTACACCATTACTCCTTTTTCATTTTTTGATTAATAACAATTATCGAAAAAGGGTATACCCATATCACCAGCTTAGCGGGAGTTTCTCCTGTCTACTCTACTCGTGTAGTTCTTCATTCTGAGCCTCGGCTCGATGGGCGGGATATTTTTGTTCTCGTTCGCTTGGGTTCTTAGCTTCTGCAAGGATTTCTGCCTCCTTTTTCCTCTTTTCCCCTACCTGCGGTTGGCTATTTATTTTGGCTTCTGACCTGGTGTTGGTTAATAATATACGTGAAATGAAGTAGTTCACATGCGTATCCGATGCTCATGAATCACTCACGGATTGAATTTGGGCATGGGGGATCACTCGGCAGGATCCATTTTGGAGGGCCGGTGAGAGAAGGAGTGTGATAGGTGTCTGGACGGATGGAGATGTAGAAAGTGTGATATGGTTTCTTTGGGCGACAATCGACTTTGGACAATATTCAGTACAGTGCCGGTATGTGTTGCGATAGTAACAGGAGTGCGGTAGGATGATCGTGGTAATATTATGGACGAAATGCCGGTATCCGGGGATGAGTCAGTCTATGATAAAGCGACTAAACAAAAAGCCTTGGTGACCGGGACACATTTACACCAAAAATCGTGACTTGGAAGGGTTTTTAAGCAGGCTCCCAAACGCACTGAACCTATGTGAAATACCAGCACCTCACAAAAACCATCCAAGTAGTTATGTATACATGCAAAGATTATACTCTAGCTCTTTGAAGAGTCTTTAAACACTGCTCAATTGTTGCGAGGGTTGCTGGGGCAATTATCTTAGCAAATTGGTGACAGGTATGATACCAAATGCCTTTAAGAAGGGGCAGTGAGAGCTTTTCAAGCTTGTAGAACCTTGAGTTGGTGGTAATGGGTATATTTCAAATTAATCATGGGATATTGCACAGGTAAAATGGCCTTAAATCAGGAATTTTGGAAAAAAGGAGACCCAGTTTCCAATGAGATATCACCCCAACAATTGAAAAGTGAGGTTTCTGCACACTCTCGATGTGAAACTGAGCGAGCACCAAGATTTTGCTTAGTTGCTTTAGGAACCAACAGAGCGAACCAGAAGCTATGGGTACAACAGGCCCTTAATAGGTTTAGTTAGCATGTTAACTTGTTTCAAAAGTGCTATATAGCATTCAGGCTATAGCTCGTCAGGAAAGCGCTATTCCCTCTCCGGCACCCTCGTCGCCGAATCTGGGGATCATAAGCGGCCTCGAGGAGATAATTAAACGAATAACGGGGTTCAGGGTTTTTGCCGTCGACTAAATTACCAAACCTTAATCATACAGACCTACAAGTTAGCGAATTTTACCCGTACTGTACGATAACCGTGCCAAGGTTCCCACCACTTTGAACGACACTGACCTTCAAAGTAGGTGGCACTCCGATGGAGTGCCACACAGTTCAATAATAGTAACAGTTCAATGATAGATTTACTACATGCCATGAGAAAAATTCACAATAAAATACCCAATTTCATGACACAATAGAGTCTGAAGCTTGGTCTGCCTGTTTTTATCCTTCACTACTCTTCTTATCTCCTTAGAAATTTCTTTCCACTGTTTTTTAACCTTGCTGTCAGCTGCCTTTTGTGCAGTGTTGAGAAGGTGTTAAGCCTTTTCAAGCTACTTCTCTACAGTCTCCCTCTCTTTTTGAACCACCATTGCACGCGCTTCATGTGCATATAATGATTCATCCTTCTGGATAGAACAGCAAGAGTGTTTTTAACATACCTCCTAGGCTAGTTCAGCTGCTTTGGTATTCTGAAGGTTTGTTATTGCAAGTACTCCACTTTGTGCTTGCACAAGACTTTCCTTCAAATATTTCTGAATATGAAATGCCATTGTAGGAGAGAGATCATAAACGTCTGACTGAAGTGAGTCTGCATGTCTTTTTAATGGTTGGATCATTTTGGGTGTTGTCTGAAAGCTTTCTAGTTGTAGCGATAGGGTTCATAGAGGTTCAATTGTCATGTTGATATCAGGAATGTCCAGTAGTTGACTAAGAACAATTTCTGGGTCATAGATAATGAGACCTGTGTTCTAGAATCCTGATAAGATAGTCATAGACTTAAATGTCTGTAAATAAATTAACTTAATTGCCAAAAAGAATTCAATTTCGTTGAATTTGCAATACCCGGTTTGTGTACCGGTATTTACCACTTCAGCATAATAATGATTATATGTCTGAAAGACAATCACAGCTAATGGCTGTAAGAGATGTATGTAATAGAATGGAAAAGAAAAAAGGAAGATTTGATTCTCATCATAAAATATAATGAATTTTTGAGTACAGTGGGAATAATGGATATCCAGGAGAAGCGTTCTCTAAGTACTAACTGGTCGGTGAGCTAAGCACTGCTCAACTTGAAAGTGCTGAATTCAATCTACTGCTAACTTATTGTTAGTATTATAAACTGAGCTGTAGCAAGGCAGACTGACAAGATAGAATATGTTTTCATATATTTTGGATATTTTATGCAATGTGAGGAGGTATGAGTTGTGTACGTGAATTATTTATGAGTTGTGCAAGTTACGTATAAAGATGCAGATAGCACTGTTGACTCATGAGAGTTAGTTGATAGATTTCACATGACTCATACTTGTAAGTTATAGGATATGATGACGTGAAGGTATATGCCACATCAGGGTTAGGGCTAGATATGATGTGGATAAACAGCGGGTCAAGGACTCTGAGTAGTTAGCTTCTCAGATAGTATTCTAAGTAATATAGTCATCCTCTTATAGGTAGGCCTATGGTACTAAGATGGATTTCTTAGGGAAAGATGATGGAAATCTATTCTATTATACATGATTGTGCTTCCTACGAGATTACGCCAACAATTAGAATGCAGACAAGTGTTGTCCCTTATTCTAACTACTGGGTTGTCTTTAGATTAGCTGAATTATCACTTGTCTCAAGCAGATGTTTTTACTCGTTACTTCAAGAATTTGATCGTATGAAATTTACATTGTCAATAAAGATTCTTGACTGCCAGCTCCACAGAGCATAACATAATATGGTAGTGCTCAGATACAGAAATAGGCCTTTAATCTTTCCCAGAAACTCATCATCCATTACGTCTCTTCTTTTCCTCCCTGAATTAAACTGTTTATGTCATGCCCAGAATCTATGAGGCTAGGAATCTAAGAGAACAGTTCTGCCTAAATTATTAAATCAATTCAGTCTTATTGCAGACTAAAATAATGGCCAGGAATATCAAACAATACCTTATATTTATTTGGTAAGTAATTAAACTGATCCTTTCCAAGTACGTACTTTACCTTTTGCTCACAGGCTGCACAGTCTTCAGTATTAAGCATATAGAGATCTGGTACAATGTTTTTCACCGTATGCAGATACTGAGATCTGCACACACTTAGCTTTGCCTGAATCTGTTTCAAGAGTAGCTGGCGGTTACATTATTTAGTCTTATAGATAGGATATAGGTTATCGATTAATGCCAACTTACCCGGGTAGTATCACCAAAGTTGTGGAACCCTAATTCACATCAGGCATTACTCCAACAATTACATACTCTTTCTGTTAGGATAATTAGCTCTGTAAACAGATCTACAAACAATGCCCTGTCCTACATTATCTTATAAGCTTTAATCTGGATAGTAAGCTTTATCCCGACAGCTGTATTTCGTCAACTGCTGGTCACATTTGGGCCCCTGCTATCAGATCCCAGAATTGCCAGAGTTGGGAGTAGGGCTAACATACTTGGCTTTGCTGGAGAGGTAGTAGGCACCTCCAGTATGAATCGGTTTTAACTATCTCGTATGGACTCTAGTATTTTCTATCTAGGATAACCAACTTTCTTTCGGAGCTTTGTGTCAGGTAGACGCTCATGGTCTGGATTGACCGCTGTGATTCATGCCTAGTTGCAATTGGTCTCTGGGTCCCAAAACCAGCTGTCGGACCCTCACCATCATCATCCAGCTCTAACAAATCCTCCTGCTCACTCTCCTCATATTTTCCCTTATGTGAGTCTATGCTATAATCCTCTTCCCCCATACTCTGTCCTCTGTTGTACAGAAGATCAGGCTGTAGTACCTCATGTCATGATAGGGCCAATATAGTTGCTGAGGTGCTCCAAAGTGCAGACTGAGAGAAGGTAATTGAAGGTAAAGATGTTGGCAGTGCAGCCAACACCTCCTTAGACTTTCATTTCCAGATATGTCCACTGTAGACCTTATTTGACTTTTGTTTGTACTGCTGAGACTGTAACCGGTACGGGTACTTGGTTATTGGTTTTGTTTTACGTTTTATTTTAAATATCACTTTGATACTTAGTTTGTTTTAAGTATCGTTTAATACTTAGTTTTGTTTTATATTTTGTTTTAAGTATTGCTTTAATACTTGGTTTGTTTTAAGTATCGTTTAATACCTAATTTGTTTTATGTTTACTTTAAGTATCATTTTGATACTTGATTTATTTTAACAAAGTGTATCGCTTAATATCTTTGACTAGTTTTATTCATGCTAGACATGAATAGATTTGTGTATTTAAAGACCGCCTGTTTCTACAATAGAAAAGGTAGACTTCAACAGACAGTATTTCAATATACTTAGTTGAAAGGTTACCACTTTATTTCTCAGTACACCCTCGAAGCCTCTTTTAGTTCTCAGCTCTTACCTCTCTAGTAGATCAAGCCACCTGCCAACTATTGTACCATTTACAGATAATATGAATAGCATCTTGTGAACTGGTTACTAGGACAGACAAGTTCTTTCCATGCTAATAGTAGGTCGTGGCTACTGCAGCAGCATAGTAAGCTGGTAAATTCACAGAATTTGATTAAATATTATCTGGCAATGCAGAATAGTATCTGGAGGGGTAGCAAGTATCAGGGAATGTGGATTTCTAGAAATTTAATGGGGGCTATGAAGTTTGTACTTAAAAGACAGAAAAGATCAGAATGCGTTCTGTAAAGACCAGTCATGTTCACAGGCTATCACCAGTATTTTCTATCTGTGTAGAATACGAAGGATAAGAGACTGGCCACTCAGCGACTCTCATTGAGTAGA